TATATATATATATATATATATATATATATATATATATATATATATTTTACTAATATTAACTAATACTTCTGTATATTTATGTATAAGTTCATATATTGTCCTAAGGATAGAAGAGTATGCTGTGTATATAGCAACCCAATATAATTGGGCAGCAATCCTTTATAGTTTATGAAAATAAAGTGTTTCTCTCTCCTCTCTCAGTCTCCACTGGACTGGTAATGCTGGTGACGCGGCTGAGAGAGAAGCGCTGGGATCTCTTAGAGTCTCGCTTTGTCCTTCACATGTAGGAACTAGGAAAGGGCTGGACTCGGAGGTCTCTTGCCTGATTGTAATTAAGTATGAATGTTTTTCTATTTATTTCTTCTTCTTCTTTATCTTTCTCTTCATGCCATTACTAGCGTCAAGGAGCCTCAATCCAATGTAGCCATGCCTCTCGGTCCCTACTAAGCCGCCTCATTTCCTGGAGGGTTTTTCCTCCCTTCTCTCCAATCCGCTGTATATATTCCTGATAGAAAATTCTGGTGTGGCCCCTTGGCCTCCTCCCAGTGGGTTGAGCCTTCAGAATCTTCCATGGATCTCTCTCCTCCTCCATCCGACAAACGTGGCCAAACCACTTCAACTGTCGGTTTTCCAGTACAGTCCTTAGCTCCGCCACCTCCAGGTCCTCTCTGATGCGTTCATTTCTGAAGCGGTCTCTCCTGGTCTTTCCAGCAGCTCTCCGCAGAAACTTCATCTCGGCTGCTGCCACACGGCTAACTTGCTTGTCCAGCATAATCCAGCTTTCTCTTCCATACATGAGGGTTGGGAGGTATACCGACATGTATATGTGCCTTTTTGTTTCCTTGCCAACTTCCCTGTGCCCTACTATACTGTTGCTGATAGGGTAATATACCTGATTGGCTTTGGATATCCTATTCGCTATTTCTGGGTCAATCTTCCCCTTGTTGGTGATAATTGTACCCAAATAGGTGAATTCTTGCACAACTTCAAGTATCTACTCGTTACAGATCAGCTGGACGTCTTCTTATTCTTCTCTTGATATGACTAGGACTTTGCTTTTGGAAATATTGATAATCATACCTTTGCGGAGGAGTTCTTTTTGCCATTCTATTTATTTCTTTTACTTATAATTTATTTAATTTTGCTACGAATTTCTGTATTTTATTTTATTTTAACTATAAGTTACATTTCTTTGGTTTATTATATTTTTTGCCTTTGTTATATTGATGTATATTTTTTTATTATTTATTTTATTTTATTTTTATTGTATTGTATATATGGTATGAATGTGCCTCACTCAGCTTTAGTACTCAGTGCCCTTAAGTGTGGCAAAATGTATTATTTCTCAATAAAAAGATATATAACCAAAACCAAAATTTATTTATAGATTTATCCAATGGGTTTATAGATATATACCGCTAAGATTAATCGATATGCCTCCTCTCCCCCATTGATAGACTATTTCTAATTTTAAAGAAATTGCTATTGTATGTTGTATGAAGTATCCGTTGTCACAGACTAATTTTATCGCCTCCAGGAACAGTGCTTTATTTTTAATCGTCATATGGGGTTCGATTTCCTCTCAATTTGTTTCCAATATCTTGTATAGTTCTTTAAGGGGAATATTTGCAAAGAGGAAAAGTGTAAAACATCTGATATAATCCCTCATCATTTGCTAAATAAAATCATTCCTCTTGAAAATCTCTTCAATACTAAATTTCTAATTAATAACAAAGATAAGTCAAAAAATTGATTTAATAAATTAGCGATAGATTGCTTAACACTTGATATAAAAAAATGCTACTGGGCACTCAATACCTGCAATAAAATTCATAATGAATATTTTAATACATTAAAAAGCAGAAATCTGCAAATACACGAAGCCTTGAATAAATAACTAGAGTAATTTAAATTAGATTTTAACAAATATCATTGAAAAAGACTCAACATTAAAGTTAAAAGACCTTACATAGTCCGGATTAATAAACCATAGATACTATGTGACAAACCATAACATGCTTTAACAACTAAGGGCTGGACAGTTGATGCCACTAATAGAAATTTACCAGTGAATATCCTGAAGGTATTATCCTTAAAAGAAAAATTCAACATAATACCCAATAAATATATTATAGCTGATATTGAAAACATCATTAGATCTATTAACACTTCCGAGAATCATAAGAACGTAGTTTGAAATGGAGTAAATAATCATATTAACCAATTTCTAGATAACAGGGGGAAACAAAATATAACTAACCCCTTACATGCTAAAATTAATAATGATTTAATAGAGACAAAATATTTTTTAAGAACACAGAACTAATTGTTACCAAATCGGATAAAAAAAAAAGACGGTTATCACTTCAAAATCAGAATATAATAATAAAATGTATAATCTACTCAATGACCAGCAAATATACCAAGACTCCTTAGAAAAGAACCCTTAAGTGAGATACAAGACAAATTACTAAACAATGTCAACAAACTAATTAAAAATAAATACATAGAAGAAAAATGTAAAGATAGACAAATTAACAGACACTATACCATTCTGAAAATATATGGGCTGAGTACTCTCCATAAAAAAAAACATACCACTGATACCAATAGTCAATAACATTAATGGGATAACTGGAAAATTTGCAAAATTTCTAAATCCAGCACTAACTAATCTTAATTATATAAATACATATGACATAAAGAACTCTATGCAAGTCAAAAATATGATGAATAGCTTAAATAAAATTGATGATAATGAATGCCTAGTCAGTTATGATGCAGAATTCATTTTTACAAATATTCCCCTTAAAGAACTATCCAAGATATTGGAATCAAATTTAGAAGAAATCAAACCCCATACGACGATTAAAAATAAAGCACTCTTTCTGTAGGGGATAAAATTAGTCTGTGACAACGAATACTTCACATACAATTGCAATTTCTTTAAAATTAGAAATGAACTACCAATGGGGGAGAGGTGGCATATTGATTAATCTTAGCGGTATATACCTAAATAACCTGTTGGATAAAGCTATAAAGAAATTTAATAAAATCCTTAAGATTTTTAAAAAGTATGTGATATCCTCACAATTATAGGAAAAATTAAATACAAATTTCTTTAAACATATTAAATTCATTATCAGATAAACTAAAATTCACAAACGAAGTAGAAGAAAATAATAAAATTAGATTCTTGGACATGAATATAAATAGAAATGAAACAGGGATACTAAAAACATTGTGGTGTAAAAAAGATATAACAAGCAACAGAATACTAAATTGGCAAAATAACTATAATATACAATAGAAAATCAATAAAGCTAAAAATTTAATTGATAGAGCCAAATTAATTACAGACAAAATACATATTAAAGAAGTAAAAACATAAATATATGAAATTCTTCACCAAAATTGATACCCTGTAAGAGTGATAAATAAATAAAGGCACAAAGATAAAATGGAAAAAACAAAGATAATAATAAAGAACTAAAGGGTTCAAACATCAATTTTAATTAAAATTTAAACATTCTATTTTAATTATTTATTTGTAACTTATAGAAGTAAAAAAATGACTTTCGATGAAATAGAAGAATGACAAACCCACGAATTATATTATAATGATAGATTTTAAGAAATTTTATGAAGTGATGCATGGTAGGTAGATCATAAATTTTGCATTAATTTTAACTAAAATGTTATGCTATAAAAAATGTTTATAAAATAGAATTTGGACTATGTATGTAACTAATTGTTATATATTAAAACAATAAATTAGATGTTTTTTATAATGATATAGTTTAAAGTATAACAAATAAATTAAAATTCGTTTGCAGGATCTTGAAAATGGCTCCTGAAGCCGAAACGTTGAATAAATAATACACAATGTGATGACAGTGTATATTTGGTGACCTTTGGCTTAATGTTTTTTAAAAAATGGCACCGAACCTAAATTATTTTACAAGTAAACTAATTATAAGAGTGGATTGATGATTGACTGTAGTGAAATTGAAGAAAAGTGTTTGGGGTGTTCAGTCAAAAGTATAAAAAATAAAAATAAATAAATGATATTTATTTTTGCCAACATTTCGGCCATAAGTTCAGGAATTCATCAGGGTTAAGGAATGAACAAATAACAATAGGTATTATAAACTATTAACATTAAAAAGAAAATAATATTATGGCATTATAGTATAACAGTAACAGAGAGGAACTTATGAAATAAATAATAACGGCAAAAAAGTTGGGGACATTAGGTAACAAAAGGACTCTCATAATATTCTATTAAAATTATTTGTTAATTATTCTTTTCATTCCTTTTGTTATCTAATTTCATTATGTTTATTTTATTCATTATGATTATTTTATTTGCCCCCAACTCTGTTGCCATTATTATTTATTTCATAAGTTCCTCTCTGTTACTGTTATATTATTACGTCATATAATTATTTTATTTTTAATGTTAATAGTTGCTAACATCTATTGTTATCTGGTCTTTCCTTAGCCCTGATGAAGGCCTAAACTTTGGGTTGAAACGTCGGCAAAAATAAATATCATTTATTTATTTTTACTTTTTATTCTTTTGACTGAACACCCCCACCAACTTCTCTTGAATTACTAATTATTTATAAAATGCCATATCATTTTGACCCACAATCTAATAATAATCTGATGAACCAATATAATGAGCAAGTAATAACTGAAGAACTACAATTTCAATGGGAATATCAGCAATGAATAAATAATTAGCAATTATATATTTTCTGACAGACTACCAGACAATCTCTATCTTTATTTATTATATGGTCACAACCTTCTACACATGTAAAAAAAATAGCTTTTAACTGAGATTAAAAATAATTTTGATGAATTATACATATATGCCTACTAATTATGAGCAATGATAAAGGTGGAATCATTGAAATATAAGAGTGCAAAAAAAATTCTCATTTATACTTTTAAAAAATTTCAATTTGTGTAATTTTTTAAAATCGTGTTACCTCTATTAAATAGCCTGTTTATAATATCTTTTGCACACGTAAGATCAGAACTATTAAATTCATAAAAACTTGTCCAGCCTTGAGGTATATAAAGTCTTCTTTCCTGCAGTACAGCATGAAGCCATGCCAGCACAAACATGACTTTTGAAGCATCTATATTTACAGCTAGTTCTTTATCAAGACTCCAGTTGTCATAAATCTTTTCCATGCTCCTTTTAATGCCAGGAGGGGCCTGCAAGAATTCATTTCAATATTTGTTTACAAAATCAGTAATGCATAAATAAATTCATAGATCAGTTACTTTACAAAGTTCAGCTGATTACTATAAATGTTATAAAAATACTCTTTCCTGTTTCACTATACTACACTAATTAGGAAAAAAAGTAGTATATGTTTTATTGTTACAATGGTTGTCTATATCACTTGTGTTAGTTACTGTTTAAAAAAATTATCTTATTGTTAACTATTTGAGTATTTCAAAACATATTTTTATATTTTCTTGTGTAAAGAAACTTTTTGGAACAATGTTTTTCTGTTGAAATATTGAGCAGCAATCAATAATAATATTGATAATATATTTTTATTTTATCCCGGCCAGAAGCTTTCCAGATTTTCGTTTGTTTCAGTGCCTTAGCTACATCCACAGTAATACTAGTTGCTTTTCATAGGCTGGAGGTCTGATAGACTATAACATTATTTCTGATTATAGCCATTAGTAATTTGTGCACACCATTAAAGCAAGTTATGAGTCTCACATTCTGCACTATTATTATTTTTCTTTATTTGTTTCACACATTATATGGTTCTTTGTAATAGCAATAATAATATAAAATAATCTTGAAAATATATTAATATAATATTTGGTTGACAAAATTTGGTCCCAAACTATTGTAAAGAACCACATATTTGAAACAAATAAAGAATAAAAATAATAGTAATGATGCAAGATTTGAGACCCATAACTTGCCTTAATGGTATGTACAAATTACTTACAGCTGTTATGAATGAAGGAATGAATAAAAATTAATTTTATTTTGGGACTAAAGTCCCCTTAGAATAATAACAGAGGTAAAAAAATATATACATCAGTCTGGCATGTAGATATAATATTGATATATACAAAAAATACTAAGAAAAGATACAGATATATCATCCCAGAACCCCGTTTCTTTCCATTCATATGACAATCTCATCAAGATTTAACGTATAACGTTCCAACTTCTAATTTCACTCCTAAGCGAATTACATGGCAAGACTTTCGCTCATTGACGTCTGAAAAACTAAATCCTTTTCTTGAATCACTAGCCCAATCCTAAGATCCCATTTATTCCCTTTCCTCCATTGATGAAATGGTGTATAGTTTTTTCTCCTATCTTCTCCTATTCCTTAATCAACACACACCCTCAAAGCCCTGTTGCTCCCTGGATTAATCCAGAAATAAGAGAGTTGATGAAGATAAAAGACGCTTCTAGGAGACGTTAGATGAACTCGTCATCCTGATGATTATATCTCTTTAAAGACTCTCCAAAACCTCACCTTATCTTCCTTATGACGTAATAAGGCACAATTCTTCTATAATTCACTATCAAAAGCATCAGATCCTAAGTCCAGATGGAAAATCCTCAAAAATGTCTCCATAGTGGAATCAAAAACTTGCACTTTGATCATCCGACTCTATCACAATACTTTTCTCTCCATTATACTGCATTCCAAAACTTCCTCCAACACTGTAAAATTCTATTTTACAAATGTTTCACCAGAGGATCTTCTTTCCTCTATCCTCAAATCCAGAACGAATGACTATGGTCCAGATCTAATTCCAGTGAAACTAATTACACTCTGTCCTCCAGTCATCTTTCCTACATCTACAATTTTTCCTTACATAACTTCACCTTCCCATTAGCTTGGAAAAAAGTTATAGTCCGTCTTCTGGGCAAAGTTCTGGTTCCCTCCACAGTTTCTAATTTCAGACCTATCTCCATTTTCTCCAACCTTTCAAAACCTCTTGAGAGACTAGTCCACTCACAGCTTGATACCTCCCTTGAGCAAAAAGCTCTTCTCAATGACCTCTGATCTGGTTTCTGATCCCAGTTCTCCACCCAATCTGCTTTGTTAAAAATCTCTCAAGACCTTCAATTCTCCATAGGCAAACAGAAAATCTCCAACCTGATTCTCTTTGATTTTTTAAAAGCCTTCGATTCAATTAATCGAATTTCAAAACTACAAAACCTTTCCATACCAAATAGCATCCTAAAGTGGTTGGTTCTATCCCTTTTTGTATCACAGATACCAAACAGTCATCATTCCAAATAAAACTCCTTTCTTCTTCCTCTTACTAACTTGCTGTGATCCTCAGGGATCTTCGCTCTCATCAACCCTTTTCTTCATTTATATTAAAGACCTTCCTGATTCCATCCACTACTTGTAATATCATCTGTATGCGGATAACCTCCAAATCTATCTGTCCTTTCATCCAACCGAGATACTTGAATTGATACAAAGACTACAAGAAGATGTAAACAGCATCCAAGCATGGGAAAGGAGCAATGGTTTTATGTTGAATGTTCCGAAGATCAAAGCCATTCTTAGTGGGCATTTTTTTGTGGTTGGTAATAGGTCAGAAGAACTGCGCCTGTGGAGTTAGTTAACTAGACTTCATTGACGATCCCAAGTCCAGATAAAGCAGGAGGGTTAAAGGGGGCTGACTACCCACCTATAAAAAAACTACAGATTACTTATTCTCAACAGTCTAGCCTGAGGAAGAAAACAACATTTTCTATCAAGATTTAGAACAGACTATAGCTGCTTCCCCCTCCTTTGATATGAAAATAGTTTTGGGTGATTTTAATGCTCAGGTTGATAAAGAACCAGTGTTTGTCCCTACCATTGGCAAACATAGCTTGCATGTGAAGACAAATAACAGTGGAGAACAAATAATTAGTTTTGCTGCATCTAGATCACTAGTAGTGATAGGTGCTAAATTTAAGTACCTTGGCTCCATCGTTAATGAACAGGTGGACAAAGAAGAAGAAATTCAAAATCATGTAATGGGGCCTAACAAAGCATATTTTGCCAAAAGAAGTTTCCTCCGAAGTAAGCTACTAAGTCAGGGTACGAAAATGATTATATACAAAACAATCATCCGACCTGTACTGACCTATGCCAGTGCAACCTAGACCCTACACAAAAGCATGGCTGAAAAGATTGACAGTTTTAAAAAAAAAAGTGTTGAGGCCAGTTAGAGAGAATGGTACATGGCGTTTAAGGAAGAACAAAGAGATCTAAAACTTATTCGGTCGATCTCAGAGTTTCTCATTTCATGCGAATTCAGCGCTTAAAATGGCTGGGACACATTATCAGAATAGTTAAAGGTAGAGCCTTGAGAAAATTATATTATGGAACTCTGGATGGAGTCAGACCACGTGGTTGAGGACTTGATGATGGTGGAAGTATCCACCAGACATGCTGCTGACCGAAATGATTAGGAAAGAACAGTTGAGAGAGCCAAGGACAGCTTCAGGCGCCCCTCGGGCCAATAAATAATAATAATAACAATATGTCAGAAGGCGGGAAGGACAGGTATATTTGGAAATTGTTTGCATAGATATGGCATTGGGATTGATGGATCAGGAAGGGAAAGTCATTGGCCTAAATAGCAAACAGAGTAGGAGATAGAGAGGACCCTTGAAGGACACCACAGGCGGGGGGAAGGGTCTTAGATGGAGGTTAACCTGGGACGACTACATACTGGGACTGATTTGAAAGGAAAGATTTGAACCAACACTGTTCGATAAAGGTTTTCAAGATTTTGCAATTTAGTAAGTAGGATGTTATGGTCAACTGGGTCAAACGCTTTGGAAAAATTTAGAAGGATGTAAATAGTAAGGTTTGGATATTCAATGGATTTCTGGAGGTCATGGGTTATTTTAAGGAGCACAAATTGGGTTGAGTAGCCAGGTCAAAAGCCAGATTGGAATGGGTTGATCAGGGAAAGTTCCTCTAGGAAGTTGGGAAGTTGATTTTGGACAAGGGATTCCAACGGTTTTGAAAAGTTGAAAACAAGTAAAATTGGACGGAAGTCATGCAGTGAGGAAGGGTTAGAAGTTTTATTCAAAGATCAGACTAGGCAAACTTCCCAGGAAGATGTGAATATGGAATTTTGTAAGGAAAAGTTGTAAATATGGTAATGTACCGGAATAAGGACAGGAATGCTGGATTTTATTAGTTTTACTGGAATATTGTCATAATCATTAGTGCAGAATTTTAGGATAGTGGAAAGTAGTTTGTCATAGGATACATGGGAGAAAAAGAAGTCTTCAGGATCAAACTTACGATGTTTAATATCGGAAGTAGGAAAAGAATTATGAGTGAAGGATAAGAAATGGTTGTTGAGATCACATGGAGTCACTGGGAAGGAACTGAGATTATTGGATTCTGGTAGGGACAGATTACAGAGTATTTTCCAATTGGATTTGGAATCAGGAGTATTGGAAAGGGCATTATGGAAGTAGGTGGCTTTAGAAAGTCGGATTGCCAATTGGGTTCTATTGTAAAGTTCCTTGAAAAATGTGTAATCCGCAGGCAAATAAGTTCGACGGTATTTGCACCTTGCTGCATCCCTTCCTTTTATCATTTCCTTTATTTCAAGGGTCAGCAAGGTATAGTGGGATGACAAAAGGTTCTGGTTTTCAGAGGAGCACAGATATCTAATAAGGACTGAGGTAAGGGTGGATACCATAGGATCAATAGAATTATAGCCATATATGATGTCCCATAGGAAAGTATCAGGTCAGGTTAAAGGGATTCATAGGAGAGTAGGTTCAAATTGCAGTATGAAACTATTTTGGGAATAAAATATTTCACGGGTAGGTCGTATGTGCTTTGGATTAGGTCATGTGATGTAAGAAATGGAACACGATGTTGTGAAAAGAAAAGGATTTTGATGGGAAAATCAGAGATGTATAGGTTTAACCAAGTTTTGGAAAATTGCGTGTGATGGTTATGAGAATAAGGTACCAGATAAAGATTAAGGGAAAACAGCAGGTCAGTAAGGAAGTTTTTCACGGGAAGTTGTGAAAACATATTTACGTTAAAATCACAGGTGAGGATAATATTGGTGTAATTAGAAACCAGGTTGAGAAGGGAGGGTTCAAAAAGATTGTCAAATGGAACATGAGGAGGGCGCTAAACCACGGAATATAACAAAGGGAAAGAAATAGAGGAAATTTCAAC